TGCATTTTCGCTTGAGATTCACAAAGTGAAGCATACTCTTCTATCTAAATAACTACACTAAAGTCGTTGCGCTTGTTGCCTGACACTAATAATTTGTGTGGGAAGGAAGCGTCTTTGTTAAATATCTCAGTTCGCTCCAAGCAGAAGAACGCAACTTTAGGTGAATCTTTTGTCTCGCGCACACGAAAGCCCACAGCCTCAAGAATTTTTGTAAAGCGCGAGTAGGTCATAAATTTTGAATGACGCAAGCACAGCAACGGGAGCATTAGAAAGAGCAAGCCTCCATCCATTAAGTGTTCCCTATACAGTCGAAGCATCTGACCACGCTTTACAGCTCCAGGGACGCAGTTAAGTACCATGCTAGACACGACAATCTGAAACTCGCCAGCGGGCTTAAGACTGAAAAAATCGCACTGCTCGATGCGTTCGTGCCGGGATTTAAGATCAATAGCGCGCACATTTAGCCATGGACACGATAGTAGCTGCGTGTTAATCGCACCGACTTCAAGCACAGGCAATGGCGGTTGCTTGGCCTTGGGCCGCAGTTCGAAACGTGTAAGCAATCGAAACACCCACTTTGATGTACGATGAAAGCTCGTGCTAAGAATGCTAGCGTCCTGATATGCTTGACGACCTCCCAGTTCAATCAATTCCTGATTTATTTCGGCAATGCGTAGCTTTCGTGTCTCGACTTCGTCCAATTTCTGTTGCTCAAGGCGATCAAGCTCATGGGTCAAGCGGTGAAATTTAGTAATTACATTTCGTGCCTTGCGTCGCGACTTCATGCGCGGAGGAGCAATATGTAACGCTTTCCGAGACTTTTTAGTCTTTTTTATCAACTTGCTCGCTGGCTTCGACGCCGCAGCTTTGCTGTCAAGTTTAGACGCAAGGACCATTTTGTGTGTCGAGGTTGTCCTTAAGTGACCATTAACTTAAGGCTGTGTAACCGAATTATAAGTACTCTTGTATGTGTGGTCACACAATACGGTGTAATTACACAATGGTGTGGCTACACCGAAACAAAATAGCAGTAATGCATATTAATCACTTTTTACTATTTAGTTACGAAAGCTTATATAGGCGGCTCATCCGCAAATAAAACAATCAAATACAGTTTCAAGCTTGAACGCTTTACCTTGTTCACGATTTTAAGTACTCTTGGAGGTAGCTAATTGCGATCCGCTACACTCGTAATGGTTCTTGTATGGGAACGCAAGGTCGACGACCTTAGCTTAGCTTCCTCTAAGCAAAGAGCTACGGCAGCCCAGCTGCACTTGGTAGTACTCGTAGTCAATCTACGCCGAAGCGTACGACTGAATCTTTGTGAGGATGAAGCAATACTCCGATTTGCCCCGGGGCATGCAGGATGGGCTTAATAAGCTGATGTCCCTGCTTGGCCCTGCGGGCGTGGACCACCTTTTTGCGCAAGGACCCGAAGCGATAAACGCACGCCTAGAGGCGGTTTTGTGCTATGAACGTGCTCACATTAATCAGCGACGTCAATCATATTTGCCGAAGAATGGAGTGGATTGGATTGCGAGCGCGAAGCTGCGTGCGTACTGCAAGTCGTCTTACGCGAAGGTGACTAAATTTGGATCCTGCTTGCAACCGCTTCACGCAGAAAACGATAAGTATTTTGCAGTGCGCCATGAGATTGGTATACTTTAATTACTTGATGCGCTGTAACATGCCTATGATGGGCCTTGGACTTTTTTCATAATTTATATTGAAGGTGATACGTCGCCCCCAATGGAAGCAAAGTCTTCACCGGGCTGCAAGATCATGCAATGGAGATGGATTTCAAGTGGTACCCACGAACTACCTTTGAAGGACCTGATGTTCAGAACGACATACCTCTTGCAGTCGTCTACGGGCCAGTAATACAGTTCTGTGCCACGGGGTAACCCGCCACCACAAGATGTTGGTGCTACCCATCGAAATGTATTCTATAAAAAGGGTCCCCGGGTGAAATAAACCGTTGTCATTCAGGAGAGCCCGTGGTCGCCTACTGCGATTCGTGCAATAACAAAGCACGACGCATCTTGGCTCCTTGGTGGTCTTGTTACAACAAGAGATTTGCTTCCACCAGGGCTTTTTTGTCCTTGAGCTTACCCTCGGGGGCGGGATACGAGTACATCCGTGTGTCTCATCTTGTCGTCTAGCAAACTTAATTTTGACAGTCTTTTGAAGCGAACAGGCTCTGTAACCGAGCAGACGTGTGAGCCATTATTATTTTTTACCTACTGCCACGTCTGATACATCACTGTATATGCGAATAATTGCTCGTACACTTGCGGCCATCAAAAAGGCCGGAGAAATGAATGAATGAAATTTAGCGAAGGTTTTAGATTGGCGTTATCCTTAACCGTCTCACGGACTCTGTCATATAGAGCCGTCGCGACCCGGGTTTGCATGAGAAATAGGAAAATAATGGAGGGAGGTCATCCTCGATTGGGCGGTTATCACATACTCGCAACGTACAAATACGACTTGCGCCATCTAAGAGCCCAGCGATCAATTATCATATTTCTCTTTTTACAAGTTGCTAGTGTTTTCCGCGCAGAGATTTGGCAATGTCATTTACCCACAACTTATGTGCACCAGCCAATATTCTAACCAACATGACAAAGCTTCGGCATACAAATTTGGCGTGGTCAGCTTATTGTCAAAACAGACGCATTTGGCATCCAGTAGCTACCTGAGCTGATACGAGGTTATTCGTTCTTACTCCTCTTCCCCAGGTTACAGTAACGCGCAGCTGAAAGCGTATTCCCAAACAATGAATGTCATTGACATTAGCTAAACGCAAAAAGGTGCCCATGGCAAAGGTCTCCTGCTACGATGTTGATATAATTTGCACTACAGTTACATTAGTGGTCTGGGCATGAACATGATTTTAAGGGCCCACACAAAGATTGTGTTTTGGTTCTTTGCGCAGCTTCCGTCCGTCAGAGCCAGTTCCACAACGTAATCAAAAAGCTTAGTGTAGATTGCTGTTACTAATATGCTGAAGAGTCTATTTTTGAGATAGGACTGGCTCATTTGAGATGCCTTTGACCTCATTGTCAGCTCCGTAGCAAACGTATGACCACTTTCTGACTCGGTGAAATATATGGTATACACAGGTACGAAACAATAACAATGAGCATGAATGCTTGAGATGCTAAGCTTGAAAAAATCTAAATGAAGTATAAACACTATGTGCTGGTATAGCTCGTATCGATACTGTATGCGGTTACCCAATTTTGTTCAAAGATACGGACGGTGTCGTCTTGATGCGAAGCACAGTATTCATGCCTCACAGCCGGTTAAAGTAAGACACGTCTAGGCTTGATTAGTGCACCAGAAGTGCAACGAGGTCAAGTTGAGGCGACTAAGATCGATTTTTATCTGCCGAGTTGCAACGTACAAACTTGCAGGTGGAATATTTGTGACAAATACTGACCTTCTATCTTGGTTAAGGACTGCGTCAAGTTAGGCTCTCACGTAAGCTCGTCTTCAGCGAGAAACAGCGAATACTAGCAGGCGTATCAATGAAGAGTATAATTGTGCGTGTTGTAACTGAAGTCAATAGACCTCAGGATTTAAGAAATCAACTTTGTTGAAGTGAGATGGAGCACACAGCCCTAGGTTGTTGATTGCCAACATTTTGTCTCAGCGTTGGAAAGCGGCGAAAAGTCCTGATAAGTTTAGAGGCGTCGTACCGATAAGCTTAACGCGTAACTGTTCAAAATAGATAGACCGTACTCGAAGGCATCGGCCGTTTGTCTTGCAGCGGAACATCGTCTCAAAGTGTCGAAGGTATCTTCGAGCCATTCTAAAGAGCTGATAGTCTAGCTAGTGTTAGACGCTGTCTTGACCTAAGGTAGGGAAATCCTGAACAGCAAATACGATAGCGGTCGAGGAATGGCGTGGCGGCGTCACCATGAGCCTAGGTTTGACCAGAAATGTAAGGTGAAACTTCTCTTCTGATGCAGCTTTGGTGCGTCATAACTCCACTTCCGGTTCAAAGGACAAGCGCGAGGCCATGGAGCTGAGATAGCGTCACAGGACATCAAGCTTAAGAACGGAATTAATAGCAACGATTTTGCTGATGGTCTACGGTCGCCACAATATAAGTTCGAATATTTTGACTGTAAGGGGAAGTTAGAATTTGGGTCTAATGAAACAGAGAAAAGCGACTGAAACTTGCGAGCTTTAGGGTACAAATCGAGTTATACTTTTCACAGCTGCAAGCCGGCGCTAGGTGGTGGGACAAATAATGGCAAATGCGTGTTTAGATCTTCGGGGGTTGATCAGAGCGGTCTAGGACCTATTGCACATGTTGAGTGGAACACATCCTTGTGTGTGTTTGACATTGACTATACACCCTGTATGGTTGTATATCCCTTTAGTTCTTATGTATCAGAACTGAAGACACTTACCATGTTTAAACGGTTGAGGGTCTACTGGCTAAAATCATACATCTCACTTCACTTTCCCTCCGCTCAACGTAAGCCAACGGGTCGCCGAAAGTAAGCAACACGCGGTGGCGTGTCAGTTATCCTCAGCCTTCCTTAGTAAGTGTGTATACACGGACGGGTAATTCCCGTTACACGGTCTGATGATGAAGAAATAGGGGGGGGCGACATGACGCTATACAAGGTGTTATATTATTGTCTTGAATAACCTACATCGCTGTGTTGCCACTATCGTGTGACGCACCTACAGCTATGCGGAGGATGGGTACGCACCTTTGATGCATGAACAGAACTGCAAAACTGTGTACTGACTAGTCTCCAAGTTTGCTAACATATTTTCCGGTTACAAAATTTATGATTAAGTCGATTCAAACAGAAAATATATACACTTTGTACTAGACCCAATCATAAATATATATCTGTAATGCTTAAGGTGAGGTTAAAAGCTTGCGTTGGCCTCGGATAGTTTCTTTATGGAGATCGTCGTCTTCAAAGTACAAATAGTTTGATGCATCGGAATATATTCAATGAAGTCAAACATGAAAAACGAATATTGTACAGCTTACGATTTGACATTTGTGCAATTGAACAAGAGCGTACGATGGATGTACGTTCATAAAAGTACATGCACGTGCCTAGTTGCTTCTTCTCCTCGAATAGGTTGGCCACACTACGGCTCAAACTTCTTTTGTTTGTTAATGACATTTCACAAAAGTGATCGCATTATGATCTTTCACTGCGATTAAACCTTGACAAACCTCTTGCATCCTGCAGTACTTGCTCTTTAAAGCACCTAAGTGCTCGGGGTCCTCCCCGTATGCACCATAACATTGCTCAGCGAACCCCTGAGCAAGGCGTGGTCCTTGCGACTCCCGGCGTTAACGCAATACTTAGTAAGAAGACCGACGTTTTTTGTGAAAAAGGTCGCAAAGTCTCTTAGAGATCTGATCTGACATAACCGTCGTTATCTAGAGCCAAACATCCAGGTCATTTGCTAAAAAAAGTGGTCTCTGCGCTGGACCTCGTCTCGACAGAAGTTATACACTTCATTTCGTTTATTCGGAGGAAAATGATGCGACACGCCGTCGTCGAGCTTACGACGAGCTACGCTCAAATATCAACTGTACATTACGGTTCGACCTTCAGCTCTTTATTTATGAGCTGAACCTGGCTAGATATAAATATGTTTCTTCGTCTGCAAGCGCAAGAATCTCACCGGCCACCTTCTGATTTTGTCAGTTCGTCATTACAGTCTCATATAGTCTAAACGCGAAGTGCTTTCCGATTTGTTCTCGGAAAACCGCGACATGCTTGATACGCTTAATTCATTTGTTGTCCCCGAAGGAATAGCAGAGTCCGCAGCTTTAAAACAAAGAATGGTAATTGCTCACATACTGACTAGATAATCACCGATGCAAAAGCTTAGGCAACATTTAGGCCAGGCGTTGATGAGAGCCCACGTATGTCTATTGCGCAGCGCATCGAAATCAAGCGCGGATTTTTTTATTATAGGCAATCAAATTTGGGTTGACCATAAACAAGGCCATTTTACTGGGATAGCATCAGTGAGTTCACAAGCGGGGTTCGAACATAGGAAGCGGCAAAATAAGGACACTTGCAAACAGTATTCTATCAAAGCGGGCAAGTCCTGGATTAGAATAGTAATAACACAGGGAACGGGTGTATGAACCGCAAAACCAGCCGTAAGCATACCGTGCGCGATCATGATTTCTGCCCCGCTTTCAGTGGAAGGGAATACTTCGTACAATGACTCCAAGAGTTATGCTATTCGTTGCCACGACTGCAACATACCCCACTTCGAAATCGCATGCGTGATAAGGCGCTGCGACGGCAACTTTATCAGACACCTTGTTCTCTTCACCAGACATTGTCGAAAAAATCGTTCACAAGGGTCTTTTTTATAGCCCCCCCCGTGCAGGTGCTTTGGCTTATAGTTAAAAAAATTTTTGGCGCGGGTATGCTTTAGAGCTTAGACTGAAATGTGTTCTGCAAAGATTGTGCTTCTATCGCACCGGAATTCGCGTCTTGAAAAGGTAGTGTATCGAGGTAGATACACTTGGGTCTTGAAGCTTCGCTTAACGGAATTTTGTCATCATTGAAGTACCGCAAGCGATAATTCGTGGAGATCTAGTGCAAAGTTTGATATCAAAGTGACGGGACCCAAAAACGAGAGGCTTCGTACTTTGTACAATCAAGCAGAGAACAACGACGTGTAGCTTGTAATGCTGCGATACGCAATTTGAGATATTTTGATACTCATGTCAGCAAACAGTACCTAATGTCAATCCTCATGGAAATTACGATGTTTTCAGACCGCTTTCGCTTCAAGTGCAGATGGATCTCCCGATGAAGTGTGACTTGTGCGGTATCATGCGCTTGTGATTAACTTTCAGGGGGCATTTTTGGTTGTTTTAAGCGAAAGACCCGCCCACAAAGCATGGAGACTTGATTTCAGCTTGAACTGATTTGACGGTTCCGAATGCGTATTCTCTTGATGACTTTGTCGTCGATATATTTGGCGACAAAGGGACACCACAGGCAACAGGATTGTTATGTACATTGCTTAGAGGAAGTCGTGAATCCGCGAATACGCATTAGCAAACGCACAAAGAACGAGTCCGTAAACTGAGTCCAGGAGTGAGGCCTATAATCCTTCAAGTTTCTACTTGCTTCCTTACTTCCTATAGAATTGATAGTGACATATATCCCGAGTCGTATCTCGCTTCGCTTATTTGATATCATTATTAATGTAACATTAGGTTTCGTATAGTGTGAGGTTAGCAGCCCACGTTTCTCTGAGCCTCTTTATTTTGGAGCTTCATCCTCATATCCGCATATGTAATGTCACTTCATCAAGATGATCAATGTTGGTAGGGGTTGTTAGTAGACCCTGTGAGGTATCTTGATCATCAGTCCCACTCAACAGAAAATTAACGGGGCATGCAGCAGAAATAGTATCCGCAAGAGTCTGAATGCTGAAGTAACACCCGCAATTGATCTCCTGGGACGCTCATATAAACCCAACTCATTGCACTTCATCCACCTCTGCGGCTCGAAATACACGCTACGCATACAATGCAAAAAACATTTAGCCTCCTTAAATGCGGTTATACTCACGTGGAAGTTCTTAGTACAAGCTATACTTTTGAGGAGCCATTTTGCAGGATAATAACGCTCATTTTCGAAAGAATGCGTGTCGTCCGTATTTGATTCTTAAACTTTCTTCTCTCTTGACGTATGAACTCGTATTTTGATCGCATGTGCCAAGCATTTTAGACGGTGTGAACACTGTCGCTCAAAACTAGTTTATGCTAAAGACTTGGCCTCGGTAACAGGAACATTGCTCGTTGCTGCAAGTTTTCGCGCGCGATCTTCTCGTGATGAAATAGCTAGCGGGGCACAGGGAATCAAATTCATCTAGGGTCGCTAATGGCAAAGTCTTATCCCCGCGGACGTCTAGTCGAGACGTTTATGGAGCTTTCTCATTGGAGCATTATAATAGATAGTAAGCATCTCAATGCGCGCTATAAATCACATAAGTTGCCCATTGTGCTCATCACTCGGAATCAAGGTGAAATTTCTAAGAGTGCCTTGTCATTTCGAGGGGAGACGCATTCACATATCAATATTAGCTTTACAGATGATGTAAATTGGTAAGACTTCGGTGCCTAACCGACAACCGCTTCTCCAATTTCAACTAGGTTTTCAATCTTATTCTTCACAGCAAGAAATAGTTATTTGATACCGCGTTAGTGGTGCAGAAACTAGAATTTGTCGTCCACAACTTGGGGGCCAGGGGAAGCGTTTTTCAAGTTAAAAAAGTCGTCTGTTCACCATATCAGCGTGGTAGATATAAATCACGTCTCTCTACAATTGATCTTAACGATTGATCTGAGATAAATTTACGGTAGTGTAGCCTCTGTTTTGTATAGCGTGATGATAGAAACCCATATGATCTGGTGATCTCTCATTCAGTGCTCTCATTCGTAACCAGTACTAACCATTATGCTTCATCAGACATTTTACCTTGAAACTCCCAAGGTTTCCTCCAAACCCGGGAGTCAACTGTGTAATACGTACATACGTCATAGCAGCGTACGCTCTCCATCGATATCCGCTGGTGATATTTGTCATATATTCATATTATCTGTATCTACCAAACGGTTTCTTGTGCATAGCGTGTGGTAAGCAGACAATAGTAGTTGCTTCAAGGACCCCTTCCAAATGAAGAGTTACCGCACTAATTCGTACCGAGTACGATCACAATTTACTCCTGTGTGGTACTATGGATTTCGCTCTTAGTTCGACGAGTGTGTGTTTAAGCAGCGTTATTGCTGTGAACATCACAGATATTGTTTGCAGTCACTATGAAAGCAAAGCCCTGTGAGCCAGAGTCTCTGATTATTAGTCGATTAATCTATGTGCCACACATAAATATGGGGAATTATGTTGAATCAGACAGCAAAATGGATAGGTTTGCCGTGCAGACAGTTAGCAAACTTCGACTTTACTCAGATACACTGTGAATTCTCCGTTCTGGAGCAGAACAGGGGGCTTTCAAGTGACTGAGTACTATTTCGACTCCCAAGTTCTGAGTGACACATTTTAAGAATCTAAATAGTTACTAAATATACCCATCATCAATAAAACTAATCCAATGTTTAGCATGGTGTTAGCAGCTTCATTTGTCAATGGACCTCTTCGTCACGAGTCTCAAATCATCATCGGCTCCGGTAGTATTCGTGAGACTTCATTATGGTACTTCATTCCGGTATTGTTGAGATTGGCGCTATGTATGGGTAAAATATTACGCTAGTCATATTAACGCACTTCGTTATAGTCTCCATAAAAACTGAGAGAGCTCACTGGAACCACTAACGACATCAAGCTAAATTAAACACTCTATGATTCCCAGTATCGTATTACAACCTGTTCCGTTTTAATGTTAATATTTACGATCGGATATCGTATCAACAGCTCGCTCCATATTTGATCGCATGACACAACAAGACAATGTTAGAGGCTGATGACCTACGAGCCATACTCGGTGAGGCAGATGAGGTGTTGTCCCGAGAGATCGTTCGCGGTGACTCTTTAAATATTGGGTCGATATTTAAAGAGACAAAGCAAAACCCAATTCCTGTCGATGGGAACCTCTCCGGTATATAATATATGGGAGTCTCTTCTCGTTAAAATATAGGCTTTCTCGCTGACCCTTTGCATCCGTTCTTGTTGACATTTCAGTGTCGATTTTTCGGCAAAAGGTGGTTTGACAGCCCACGAGGGTCTTATGACCACATATGGATCGTAACAGATGAGGTGAACATAATTCAGCATGCCGAGCTTGTTTGTATGTAAGCGCATGAGCTGCTACGACTTTTGCCATATGAATCGTGTCGTAATAATATAATTTTTCATGAAAAGTTTTATAATGCGACATCGCGGTATCTTTACTCGCCCCCGTATGCGTGCCTTTTACTCAAACAAACAGCAAAGTTAGCGCTGAAGCTTGCGTTATATACTCCATTTTTGGCTTCAAGCTAGCACTTTCTGGAATTATGCTTCGCTTCGAGAAAGTAGCAATCAAAATATTTTTAATTCATCGTGAGAGCTGTACAAACATTACCGAGAGCTTGGGAGATACCAAATTGTACCTTGCGCGATTTGCACAAAGGTAAAAATAGACAAGTCGCCTCGCCCGGATCGCGGCAGCAAACGTTAGCTTAGAGCGTATATTAACATCGACGGCGACATCGACATCGAAAAAAACGCTCTCAAACTCAAGTTGTTGTTGTATGAAGATAAGAGCACAGCTTCTGATACAGCGAAGTTGCAATTTGACGCTGCTTGTGTAAGTCGATCAATCTCGATCGGTTGAAATTCCCAAACGATTCAAATTGGTGCGTATTTTGCTCACCTTCGGTATCTACAAGAAAGATTTTATACACCATGGTGTCTACAAGTTGTGTCTTACACACCCTGGCTCTCAGCCGTAGTGTCGCACACTCTGCACAAGGTACATAATGGTTTTATCGATTATGCTACGAAGTGTAGCTTAGGTGAAAAGACAAATCAAATTGACAATTATCTCTAGGTAATATCCGCACTTGTGTAAGAGAGATTATGTTTGACTGTCATGAATAGTGAGAGAAATTAGGTGAAGATGCGTACCGCGTTTTTCAGCGCATACTCAATGGGTAGGAGCAATTTGCTTCACCAGAGCATTTGCTCGAACAAATACACCTGACAAAAAGCCTCCAAAACGCAATGAGAAAACCCCATATAGCCATGTGCCTGGAGACTTTCAGCGGCGGTGTTTTCATCTGGGTGTTTTATTGATCATCAAAATTTTGCTGTAAATCGCAAATCTGGCTCGACATAACTGCACCGGCAAGCCATGCTGACGAAAAGCCTGTCAAGTAGCAGCTTGTATGTATTCCCACTGGTGACGATACGTCAGAGCCCGCTTCGAGATAATCTATTTTCTTGGAAGCTTTAAAACGACCACAATCCTGGGATTACCGAACACGTATATCGCAAGATCAATGCTTGATTTCGAATCGAGGGGGTATTAACACTGGGTCGGAAATGGTTATTATCGCCACCCGTGCGACGAGTATCCAAATTGTTGACACATTTTACGTAAGCACATACCTGACTATATGTTGAGCAACTAAAACAAACGAGCTCTCCCACCACTCTTAATACGCCGTATATTTACTCACATAGGGTAGTTTATGACACGAACTGGCGTTTCTCATCATACGGGTCCCAAACACGTCGAGCGTCAAGCAGGTCATTGCGAAACTATGACACCCATGAAGACAAAAGATTCAGAGCAAACATGTTATCAAACGCTTTCCTAAATTTAAAATTAAAGTTGATTGCTGTTTTGTTTCTACATCTGCTTTGCACACTATGCGTGTGCCTCATCGATGCGTGACCTCGCCATTGTGACATGTGACACATCAAAGTCAAGCCAATGTAATAGCGTATCCACCCTTTACCGACCTGGCATTTACTTATACTGACATTTTATGTTACATATACAATCACGAAGTCGCTGTGCACAGTGGTGCATGATCTGTACAGAAATGACTTAAGGGCAAGCGCGTATACGTATCTTGAGCTCACCTTTTGCTTAAAAATAGTTGCTTCTAGTTTCGAGTTGAATTCCCTGTCACTTTAGGCTCGTGAGACTCAAACACAACTATGGTAAGTGCTCACCGACGTTGCCCTGCGAGGGTTTTATCAAGCGATCTTTCGAGAGAGCTCGACCTTTGCACCTTTTAACCAGTTTAAATGCTCGACACGTCCGCAAAGAGAGCATCTACAAATACCACGGTGCTGTGTACCGGTTTGAATCAAACTATCCCTTTTTGGCTTGACTAAGATCAGTCGCCTTCGGTGTGATTATACAACCCATAGCTTATGTTCCAGAACCGGCATGTAAAATAATAAGTGCAGGCGACGCTTTCTGCTTCCACAATTGACGGCGCGGTAATTTTAAGGGAGCCACATCTGTACAGATTTGTTCAAGACGTGGTGGTCTAAACCGCGCTTGTTAAATGGTCAGACGCAAGCAGGGCTATCAGCTCTACTCGACGGATGGATAGCAGTTTTTGTCGCACATGGTACGCCGGTGATCTTCCGAGCTTAGCAAATGCAGCCACTTCGTTAAAGTCATTTTTTATTCACATATGATTGGCCGAGAGATTAAAGCTGTCGATACAGCGTGTTATCATAGCTGGTCATCATCCAGATGAGCGAGTAATGCTTTCGATTCTAAGATAGTCTTACTACTCAATCAGATTGATATAAGAACCGAGATCCGCAAGAGAATCTTGTTGTTTAAATGACAGAGTGGAATGACCGTGTGTCCATCCTCCGATTCAGAAAGTCTAGATCGTCAAATTGACAGTACGTTTTACCAAGTTCAGCGAGGTTGTCGTACGCCTTGTACGAAAGAAGCTTCAGTTCGAAGCGTTCGCGTTAGCAGCACATCAAGTATGAGACCGTAAGCTCAACCCACGAGCGGATTTTAGAGCTGCTCCAGCGATTCGTTTTACATTTACTCTAGCACGATTTTAAGAGTGACGTATATCTAGAATTCATCCCTCTGTAAACAGTCCAAAAAAGTGCGTTAATTATGTCCAATTGTATTTTGTATGATCCGCAAGATGTGAGGCTAATAGCTCACGTGTCTTGCGAATATCTGCTTTCCGAAATATCATCATTATCGTCAGTACCACATCTGAACTGTACACAAAAGCGTGACTTTTACCCTATCCATGATAACAAAATGTACCCTGTCACATCTTCTCTCATCAAGATGAAAAAAACAATAAGACTGACACTTAATCAGCTAACCTGGAACAGTGTGCGGTGAAAGAGTCCTCACTGCGCTTGATCACATTCATTCTGTTTACCCTAGCGGCGGCTACTAGATAAGCCCTTTCCAATTCCTAGCGTACCTCTGTAGCTTAACAATGTTTAGTGGAAAACGCTTTTTTTACTAACGAACCTAGCACCTTTTTTGTGATTTTTTATTGATGAGGCTGATGAGAGTAATTCTACAGCACCTGGCCTGACTCTTTTGTTTCAACCACATTTCATAGCTGTCAACATAGCTGTCAACTGAGGAAAAGGTATTTTGTAAATATCTACTTTTCTCTTCATAGTTTGCACACTTCCTACTCGTGCTCTGGAGCGGGAGTATTGCATCATCTCACTACAAAGCCATGATGACATCCGGTAAATTTATGGTACACTGATCTTGGCTCAGCAAATCGAGATTGCCTGTCCTTAAGCGCAACAGCTGCGATAACTTTCGCAAAATCAATTACGCAGTGATTTGGGCTCGAACCATCAAAAATTGCTTGTCGCTTTGGGGCAAGACCCTTACATCCCAATGCGTGCAGACGTCTGTTTGGGTAGATAGCCAATTAAGCTTTTCAGAAAACCACATTTTAGCACTCACCATGATCACTCCCAGCGCCTAGAGCAGCAAACGTAGGGTAAAACATTTTCTTCCGTGAATACCGTCCCTTGGGTAACTATTATCGAAGAGATTGTCGCGCGCATATACGATTTCAGGCTGGACCGCTACAAATGCGTGGCTTTGCAAAAGTACTAAGTGCAAGTGGATGTCGAGATGAAAACTCGTCATTTAAAGCTGTTGCTGTCAGCAAACATATTCATCGCTATCGTACAGCTTTGCGGCCGTCGACCAAGCTTAGCACATGAAGCAAGGTCGAACCCTACATAGTTGCCAGATGTGCACTATGCTTATATCAATATTAATTTTCAATTCTAATATTGATCTATGTTTGTTATCCATAGAAGAATAAATCCAATGGTGCGCTGATAAAATAATTTTACGACGTCATTGTGACTTCACATATATTTCAAGCTTCATCAATCTTTGAACTTCGGTATTCGTCTTACTTTTTCTTATACTGGAATTCCGCCACCCACTATCCGTTTCACATGAAGGTGGAGCACTCCTTGCTCATCAAGCACCATTTATGGATATCCATCGAACTGCGGCAGACCCTCGAGAACATTCCTGACGATGGAGACACGTTGACTCTTTGACAGTCTCACCATCTGACCAATACCCTGACGAGCCATGTTTAGGATGCGCCTTCTGGTCCATAGTGCGGAGTGGTTTGAGGGATCTTGGACGGCTCGATACCACGTTGTTGTTCTATAGCAAAGTGCATTTATACTATAGCGGATGACACAGAGCGCTTCACAGCCGGTTAATTGATAAGAGCGAGCTCGCGATATGGATTTGCTGACCCCTGTAGCATACAACGTGTTCATACTTTCTTCAGGCACAAACAACGTAGTTCAATCTGGTATCTGTGTGCCCGTAAACGGTTCAATTTGGAATGAGCGCAACTTTGCTCTGTCGACCGCAAGCACTTATGATATTTTCTCTTACAGGGTGGCCTTATTTTGTGTCTGGTACAGTGTTCTGTACTCGGGTCTACCTCCGGTGGTATCACGGCACGTTGGGTGGCGAAGGTCAGTCTGTCTAAATATGGCAAGTATTTGAAGATGGGGTATCGGTGCAAACGTGTAGCCGAACGCATCGATAAATCGACATCCAAGGTTACAGATCTCTCGTTTTCCTACGCTGTCGACAAAGAACGGATGTTGCGTCTATATACTGTGCTTTAAATATCGCCCTTCAATTAGCGACGTATCCGTAGCGACATGTGACAGCTCATTTCTTGGGCGACGCGAAAGCGCAGGTGCCGATATATCAAGCTAGCCTCAGCTGTAAGCTGCTTTGAAATTTTCTTGGCTAGATCCAAATCACAATTTCATCATTATCTTTGGGATTTGCTGCGAAGACAACGCTGTGCGCAACGGCGCAAAAATAGCTTCGAAACAAGTAAAAGTGTCTAGGTATTGACAAGAGCTTATTTTATGGCAAGCAGCTCCTTATCGTAGAAGGAAAATTTGTTGCCTCAAGGTGACATGACTCAAACGCTATTTTAATGTCATAAATGCTGAACAAAAATAAATGCGCCAAAGCTGGGTGGGATTCATGCTTTTTTGTATGGAAGCTGCTTCATCTGTCGCCCTTGCAGCACCATGTGATATCTCTTTTAACATACAATAAGGACTTGTACTATCATGGCTTGTTGTTGTGCGATGAGTTGGATAGGCCAGGCCTCTTCCAATGCTTTCTTGTAACAAATGCACTAATCGATTGACTTTTTTTGCTGGATTCTGCCCTCAGACTCCGCTTCTTAATGAAGTAATTTGTAGCTGAAATTTTGTCGGTTACGATAACAAACTTGTCCATTTTGGGGATCATTATTCTTCAGCACCTAAATTCAAGTAGTCCCGCTTGCAAGCAATTGATGCGGTTCTCCGCTGTTGGCTTTTTATTCTTTGCTCGGCTATGGACAAGTGAATCTTCGATATGTATATGTCTGTGTATAGATACGATACGGCTTCAAAAGCTATGTTCTCATACGATGAAAGCTCGATTGGCGCGTAATATAACTTCCGGTGTGCTCTTAATCACTCACGAAGCATCCCATCGGCAACACTTATCACGAGAAGATATGTGCTGATGTATCCCATGAGCAGCTAAACTATTGATCCAACATAT